TATTATATATTCATTTAACCTGGCCCGAAAGTTAACCGTGTATCACAGCAGCCCCTGTCACCTCGGACAGCCGGAGTTCCAGGATTTTCGACCGCCACTACTGCTGTGGAGCCCTCATGGGTCCACAGAAGTTCCACGCCGAGCCGTTTCCCTCTCGCTGACCCCGTCCCACCGGTTCTGCATGACAACACACACAGATGACAATTACACCGATGTTCCCTCGGCGCCACCGTTATCTACTTCTAGTACGTCACTTATCAGGCAACAATGAACCTGCCGCAATCAGCCCGTGATTCCCTCGGTAACACCGTTGCTGCGTGACAACTCCCATTGATTGATGTTCGTCACTGTAAATGCCCTTTTACTCTCGTCAGCCCGGCGACACGATGCTATAAATACGGAGGTGTACAATTCATGTTCGCCTTCCTTCTGAGTCAGTATAAGTACTCTTGTGGAAGGACTGTCTTCTCTCTCCCTCTCGATCTAGCGATGCAGTTCTGGGATCGTGCTCGTCTCGCGTGTAGGATAATCGCGGCTAGGATCTGCGGGGGCGTAAGCGGTCTGGGTTTCGTGCAACTACTCGACGCGTGGGGAACGACACCGACAAGCGGTAATGGCTCGGCTAAGCAGCATACTTCACAACTACACTTTACCTTGGTCATCTCCATAATTTTCTCTTCTATCTGGATCTATTTCCCACCATGCACCTGTTGAATCTCAGGCTCAGTGATGGGTGGACACCCAGTTCATATTTGTCACAGACCTGCTCTTTCGTGCATGTAGTATTATTCATACATTGCCCTGGCGTAATAAATGCTAACATCGTTCATAATAACCACAGTAGTGATGGCTGGTGATGCACACAAGCCTTACTGTATGCCGTAATAATCCGGAGTATAGCGGCCATAAAATTTTCTAATACAACTCATGACCATCTATATTGTTGTGCTATGCCACACTTCTTAGAGATCGTGTGACAATTTAGAAATTATGTTGCCATCACCAAGGTCGCTTTTCCTATTATAGTGTAACGAGTGATCGAAACTAGTTTGGCGCGTGGTTAAGTGTGAATCGTTGATTTGACGGCACCTTTTTTCCGTCTGCCTTCAAGAATGACATTCCTGCGTAAATACTGAAGAAGGACAAGAACCTGAAGAGAACAGTTGACTGTAACTTTTCTTTTACCTCTTCTGTTACACTGATTCCTCCTTATAGAGCCTATGTGTGGCGTAATAGGCGTTACGTCACAATGCTTGAAGTTCTCCCTTGTCGGTATGTTATGATAGCTGCGTCGCAGTGAGATGTCATCCACCAAACGATGCACTTTTCGTTATCATTGTACGTAGCGCCAGTCTGTTGCTATTAAAATCCTCGTTTCATTCTGAAGTATTTTTCTCAAAGGGTAAGACCTTCGGCATGAGTCCCAAAACAACTACTCGGTAAATTACAAGAACACTAGCCAAATTTTATGTATTCCTTGCAAACTGATGTCTGTGTTTGAATTATTCTTTGCCAGATGTTTAGGCTTTATTTATTTTTACTGGTAGCCATTTTATAGCCATTTCTTTTACCTACCTTGATACTATTGTTTATTTTATTTCCTCCCTGAGTCCACTGCGAACTGGGACTCCTGAACGCGTTTTAACCGATCGATGAAGTCGGGTTGCGCGCCAGCGGGAGTTTGAAAGAATGACTCACCCACGAAAGTCCTATATGAGCCTTCTGGCCAGACTGCGCTGGTTCAGAGCGACGGGACATCCGTTAACGGAGGAGATAACCCCAGCACGATCTTCTGCACTTCACCCTGAACAACGTGCATGTGTGAAACTGACATGGATATAACATAATGCATATTCCCATCTAATATAGAGGGGACTAAATGAAAAAAATCTGTCAATATTTTGATCTTTCCCTGTGTAGGACTAATCTCTCGCATCGTCGAGAAATAAAAGATATATTTATTCATTTATTTATATGAGACGAAAGAGCGCAGTCTACCCACAACCAGTTAAGACAAATGGAGCCTTAGGATGAACATCTCGAATATCAATCTAATCAGTCAGGAACACCAGCTTCGTTGCTAGCCAGCGATCACCCTACTAAATGGGTCTTCCTTTCAGATCGGCCCTCTCACGCGGACGTCGAATGTGATATCAGACTGTCGAAAATTGAATAAGGCCGAAGGGTTAGAGTAACTTAGTCCTCTTCAGATTTGGGGGACCAGCGCTAGTGGATGATATACATGATGTATTAGTGGAAATGTCGGGATAGGAAGCTGTTCCAGTCTGCCGGAGCGGATCTCTCATGGTCCCTATATTAAAGAGGGCCCAAGTTCAGAAAGCACACAGAGATTATTCCGGTGCCCACCGATCCTAAATTGTATATCTGTGTCCTTCTTCAGCGACTGACTGTTCCTCTTGAAAGCTAGATTCGAAAAGCGCATGTACTATTTCAGCAAAAAACGACGCTGCAGTTGGCTCCATCTTCATCTTACGCCTAGTAAAATATGGACGACTCACCGTCACCGTATTCATCGGTATTAAAGGTGCCTTCGATTCAGTGGACCGATGTGCCCTTTGGAACTGCCGGCTCAGAAAAGAAATGCCGGACAAATATGTAGGTCGGGGAGAGTGAGGGGCCTTGGCATACCGCCGCCGTCAATCTTGTTACTGACCAGGTTATGGCAACTGCGTTCAATGAACACGACTTAGGTTAGGAGTTGCTTCCAGGTGATCGACTTCTTGACCTGAAGTATGCCGACAATATTTCCCTCATCTGTGACAGCTCACAAACTTGCCAAGCAGCACTGGCTGTCTGCCGTTTCAGGCTCTGATTTGCACCCGCAAGCTGCAAATCTTTCCCCTAAGATTAGTAGAAATCGCTACTGCATTGACCCTTTGTAAACATCAGCTAGAAGTCACACAAAAAATCCAAGTACCTAGGCAGCTGTATCAGCACCCGTGGTGTAGATGAGGTCACGAACTGTGTAGCAAAAGTTCGGAGCGCTTCTGCTAACCTTCGCCAGTTGTGGCGGCAGTGCAACGTCACTCTCCCTGAAGAGTAGTGTCAACAATGCAGCAATCTTCTCAGTCAAAATATACGGCCCATCAGGTTGAGAGACATAATGAGACTAATTGTGTTCGACCAACAATATCTTCGTAGGTTAGCTCAAATCTGGTGGGAACACGGTGTGAGCAACGAGCATATTCACCGTCTTGTTTTGGTGCAGGGAGAATGAATGAACCCATCAACACCGTCATTACAAGTACCAGGATCCGATGGCTTGATAACATGTTACGTACGCCAGTACACCGACTCTCGTGACGTGCGTCATTTGCGCGATCTGAGTCCGGATGAAGAAATAAAAGAGCAGACCAACCGATGACTTGGTCAATAGGAATGAAGACCATCACTTCAACGTAGGCCTAGACCGGAACCTCTCAACTTCTTGGTTAGGGTCCGAAGGATAAAAACGTTTTGTTAGATACACCTGTTGACATTCCGAAGAGCTAGCTTTAGTGATGTTTGCGTTGTGAATTCGTTGTCCCTTCCCGTATAGCTTCATCCTCCAATCACGATTTTGTTTTCGACCCATACTACAAACGAAGTGCAATCACATTTACTACGTTTCCTTGTTTTACGACTACCAAATTAAATTGTATTGGGACACAATAGCTGAGGTGTTTTTAAGTTTCAACGAATGTGTAGAAGGATGATAATTACGTTATGATGTATACGTGTGTGAGCCAACGGTGAGGATGAAATAACAACTTGCGCCATAGTGGAGGGTTTCAGTGTGGCTCTGTCCCATCCATGCACTCCACGATCGACGGTTTCATCTTGGTTTAGACTCATCAGGTAGAGATAGCGGAGCTGGGAGTGGGACTCAGCACATAGTGCTTGGCGGCTATTGCCATGATCACTAGGCCCTTGAGATCCGCGAGCAGTGCTTGACACAGCGGTTGGTTGATTTTCGGATTTTGGAGCACCCGCAGTGCGTCTTGGATGGCGACACGAATTGTCAATTGTGGCTTCGGTTGACTTTGAAATTAGCCTCTGTCAATACGATCACCAGGACCGTCACCGAAGTGGAGAGTCCCGGCGTGGCTCTCTCCTCGGTGACAGCTGCCTAGCTCGGCCATCACTAGCTGAGGAGTCTAAAGCAAACCGAAACCGTCGGTCGTGGAGTGCATGAATGGGAGAGAGCCACAATGAAACCTTCCACTTTGGTGACAGTCACAGTGATCGTACTGGTAGAGGCTGACTTCAAAGTCAACCGAAGCCACAATTAAGATTGCGTGTCGCCATCAAAAAAACATCGCGGGTGCTCCAAAACTCGAAACTCAACTTTCGCCATAGTACTAGAGTAATAATGAGACGGTGCTCCGTCAAATGGTATTCACAGCTAGTTCCGAACTTGTCTGCCCGAGGCCTGAAGCCACGACAACATAGCTGACTGTGACAGCGGCAAGGTGACGAAGATGGACGCAGAATACCTTCAGTTTGCTTAGTTACCGCACGCTGAATTAAGTTGTGATGGAGTAGGTAGCTAGGACCGAATCTGGAGCAATTCGGTGCGACCCCAATAAATATTTGCCAATGCTGCGAGATAGTTAGGAAGAGATTAGGATCAGCGAGTATACAATGTCCATATGCAAAGCCATACAATTGAATCAACAGGGCTCTGCTTGCTATGGTTGAAGTCGAGGAGATGGATTCATTATCGCGGAATAACCTACTCGATTCGATTGTCCTGTGTGAGCGGGGCGTAATAACTTCATAACGCTCCCAGCAAATGAGTTGGAATGGCGTTCGACTTAGCACTGATCGTACTGAGTCAAAGCATTGGACTCGGAAAATCGACTGCGGTTAACTAGCCACAAGATGCACACGCACAAGAAGATGTTGTATGCTGCGTGAAGCAAATATACTCAGCTCACCGGCCACCGTCGTTGACATGTGTTTGATTGCATCGAGCAACCAGTGCAAAAAGCCCCTGCGTTGTAACGAGCGCCTGCAATCACCTAATCCCTCTGTTCCGCGTTCGATCCTGCGTCGTCGCACACAAAGGCACACACGATGCTGCTGGCTCCAATACGGCTCAAGTGGAGCGATGTTCCCCAAGTCTTCGTTCGACGGTTTTGAAGCCGTGCGGAACTTGCACGATACCAAGTGGGTGGTAGGTTTGAGCTCTCCAGTGATCGTCTCCAGCGTCGGGGCCACAAGTAACTGTACAGGTGTGCGATGCCTTGCCAACGCATCCGGCCTGGTACCTGTAAACAGGACAAGAGAATTTACATGTGGCAGCAGTGGCAAGAAGTTAAACAGCGCACATGAGAAACGCAGACCGCAGCGTCCCACATGATGAATACCCCTAACAACAATCGAGAACTGGAGTAAAGACAACAAGCAAAGAGAACGGGACCTTGTTTATGCGTTGGCATCAGCGAAACGGGTAAAGTCGGATGAACAAAGGTGCCTGTCTGTAGGTAGCTCTCTTAGGGATAACAGAGTTAGATTAAGAATTAAACGACCCGACTGCGAATTTGTATCAGAGCACGTGAGTGTATTGGGAAGGGTGGATATGCTATCATTAAGTACTAAAGAATAAGCATTTTTGTGGTTGGAGCGACTACTTAGAGGGCAGTTGCGACACGTAGGTGTAGGTTAAGTAGCAGTTGGTTTCGAAATCGTTCCCATCAGAGAAAGGAGGTATTTCCCGAAGTGCTAGCTCTCAACACTGAGCTCCATAACAGGTCCTGCTCCTGTCTCAACTCTTCAAATAGAGATTGCAAATCGAGTCCGGACCTCATGACTGCCGAATGGACAAACTGAGATCTTGCGTCGCAATCCAGTCACGTGACAGATAAGCCAAACATATTAACGGATTGTTCACAGACTCGATCAATGACATCCGAAAATGCTGGAAGTCGAAGTGGCAAGAGCATCGACTGTTAACCACAAAGTAACGGGTTCGATGTCCAACTAAGATTGTGGCTACCTGAAGATGGGCTCTGTCCTGAAGAGTAGCATTCGAATAGGGTAATATCGGAAACAGCTAGCGTTTTCGCAAAGATTGTGCTGAATCAGTCGCTCTAATAAAGCCGGGTAACTACGCCGGCTTAATGATCGACGGCGGTTTTCCATCGTTATCTACACCGATGGAAATTCTCCATGAGCATGATCCTAGCGTTAGTACCCATCGGATAGGTCAAGCAACACCATCGACAGGACTGTGACAACCAAACTTGGAGCTTGGACTGTAGAAATCACTTTTACTCTCTTAGAGTGTGTTCACATTGGAGTGCTTTACCAGCACATGTCGCGAATGTACCAAATGTTGTGACCTCCGAAAGGCCAATAGACTTGCATTTTAGAGATAATCGCTATACAGTATGACGAAGTGCAGGGGCCGTTAAATGCTTCACCAGCTGCTATCAAAATGCAGACAGATTCAGCCGTTGTCACATTCGATCTAAACGCGAATCGGTAAGCAGCAATCACGTACGGATACAACAACATCATAGCATGCGAGTAACACATTACAATGACCACGCAAGATGTAAATGCAGCTAATCAGCTCGCAATAAGCCGACTGTCTGTAAGCTACCGGATAGATACACCTTAAACCCTGTGTAGGGCACCTACCAAAGGTTTGAACAATAACACAGATTAACTGAACTTTGAGATGACTTCAAAGGACGTCTAGGGAGTATACTTTTCCATTGCTGTTGAACGCCATCAGTCCATCAAATGCAAATGCATTGTTTCGGAGCGACGCAATCTTCCCATAGTCCACGGATTTCTAATGCATCGTCATTAAACCGGACATACGGCCAGGAACAGTACGCAAACTCTATTCTGCATAGTCGACCATCTAAGTGTTATACTTGCGGTTAATGGGGCTTAGGGCCGTCAGAACAAAGGCCTTCACCGCACCGGACAGTGTATGGACCAGATCTCAAGTCACATGGAACGGACAAGACAGCCGACTACAAAGGTTACGGTGGGAGTGCTTCGGACTGGAGTCGACCTGATGGGTATGAACCACAGTGGACCATTGGGTAAGAGTGAAGTTCACGGTCAGGTGTGTGGAACGACATTGTACATTTAAGGCACCAAATTGCCTATTGTAACATCTCCCTCTTTGAAAACACGTTCTCCAGACTCATACGAATGAAGCGCTGGGTTCACTTGTAAATGTTACATAGGTTTAGTAGGCCGCATAGTTCTCCCAGTGACTCCGTCACATGGCTCTGCGCACGTCTCTGTCGGTTCAATACGCCCCACAATATTTGCTAGTTCAAACGTGTCCAGCAATATATCAAACGGCAACTCGAAAGTAGAAGTGATTGTTTGTTCGATCCGTCGTTTGCGTCGCTGATAAACTTGCCGTATGACAGAAAACGTTCCGACAGACACCACGAACAGCACAGAGAATTTTCTTTATCCTGCCACTGTAGGTTGCTAGGTTTGGCGGTTCGGCCATGCGTCCAACGCTTACACCGGCTTCCCTAGTAGAAAACATCTGTTCGCGTCTGACGTCAGTAGCCGTTGCGTAACCTTAAGGAGTACTGCATTAAATGGAGGACGTGTCTCACGCCCGAACATGGCTTCCTCTGGGGATCTGTCGCCTGGTAGAGCGGGATTTTGCGTAGCGCAGATTACTTAACAGGAACAGCTGTATGATCTGCTCTGTGGGTCCTTCCCACCGCAGCTTTAGAAGTAAACGTTTGATGGTATCCACGAATCTTTGCTTACCCGTTGGACTGGGGATGCCCTGGAGGCGACCGGCAGTGCTTGATACAATTACACTGGCAAAAACACCAACATCATCGGAGATAAATTGCGAACAGTTATCGGAAACCAAGGTGTTTGGTGAACCGATCTGTGCAAATAACTGTCGTAATTTTCGTACCGTGTCCGCTGTCGTAGTTGTGTTCATCAGGCATACGTCCGGCCACTTGGTATACGCCTCAAGCACCATTCAAAAAACTGGTCTTGAACGGGACCAGGGAAATCAAGGTGAATTCGCTCCCATGACTTAGAGGCTAGCATCCATGGTTGGATGAATTTGCTTGGAAGTTTCGCTGCTGATGCACATTTGCTACATGTGGCGACACAAGCATGGATAGCGTTGTCCCTAAAAGAAGGCCAATATACGTAACTTCTGGCTGAAGCTTTCATCCGGGATATTCCGGGACAATATAGGCGCAAATATCTTAATAACCTTGCCATTGAGGAAGTCCTAAGGAATTCTCCGCATAATTCATTAAACGCGCTGGCTCTGAGCTCCTCCCAGGTAGCCGAGCTGTTGACTTGGACTACGCTGATACTATCGTCTGGCTGGGTGACGGTCCACAAGCCGTCCAACTTGCACTCAACCACTTGGCGATTGAAGCGACAAAATATGGGATGACCTTTCCCATCCAAGTGCAAACCACTTTTCCAAGACTTTCAGATGCCTGTACCTACACTCACTCTTGGTGATGAGACACTGGTCATCGAAATGATTCTGGGCCTTACCGTTTTGCGATGGTTTGTGTGCCTCTCTGATCCATTGAACTATGATGGTTGGTGCATTTTTGCACCAGATCCACTCCTAACAGCTTGGTCAAGGGTTTGGGGCCAGACAAACTCAGCCTCCTGGTCCTCCAAGTTGGGGGTTGGAATAAGGATGGCTATTTATTCCTTACAAAGGACACCTTGTAGCCCAACGCTAAACCCGCTGTTCTGCGGTCAGGTTTTTGAACCAAAGGCTTTGGTTGAACACCCTAATCGTTCTACTGTCTAGGCCTGGGCAACCTGATAGTATCCTACCCACGCAATACAATGAATTTCTCTTCAAACACTTTCTTGATGCTCTGCCCACCGCAGAGCATAATCAACGGTGCCCTGTCTGCTGCATCGAGCAGGGGGATAGGGGTATGGATGCTACTGCTCAAGCCTTCCCATCTTCTTATTCCCCCTCTTACGCTTTTTCTCTCTTACCGCCCCGTTCCAGGTTCACATTTATCCCCCCTGCTTTCAACCCCGAATTCTTGGCACTCACCCACCTTGCTTTGCTAGGGCTTTTACCTTCTAGTTTCAACTCACATGTGAACGTGGAGCGTCATTCCTGTCCTGTCGACAAGCCCATGTCCAACCAAACGGCCAAGTCCAGTTCATCGACTTCCATTTGGAGCCCTCGATCATCCTTCAGATTGGCATGCCTCAATGTACGCACATTGCTTCAGATCGGTCAACAGACAGCACTTGCACGAACATTAGAGATCCTCCCGATCGATATCTGCTGCTTTTCGGAGACCCACCTGCAAGACTCGAGCTCTGTGCTCACTTTGCGATCCCCTTCAGGTGACACCAGCAGCACATTCTCATTGCGCCTATCCGGTAACAATGCAACTTCGAGCACCGAGCAAGCGGGTGTAGGTATTGCCTGCGTTCCCACAGCTGAAGTTGCTCTAGCTGACTGGATTCCAGTCAGTAGTCGGTTGTGTGCGGTCCGATTGGCTGGCTCGTTCAAAGCTTCGGAGTCGCGCGGGACTAACAGGTGTCTATTGGTCATCGCTGTCTATGCACCCACAAACTCTAGCGATGATTCGGTAAAAGACGACTTCTCCCGCCAATTCAACGAGCTTCTTCGCCACAGACGAAGCTCGGACACTTGTGCTGGCTGGGGATCTGAACGCTCAAGTTGGAAAATTACCCACTGATGAGCTACATCTGGGCGGCCAACATGGTGTAGGCTCCCGTAATGATACCGGTGAGCGGTTACTTCATTTATGTGAAGATGCTCCCTTATTTCTTGCGAGCACTAATTTCCGACACAGTACCTATCGGAGGGTGAATTGGTGCCCACCAGCCTCCAATCAGCCTTCGACGCAAATCGATCACATTGCGATAAGTTACCGATGGAGAAGCTGCGGCCAGAACTGTCACTCGATTTGGAGAAAGGTGCGGACACCGACCATACACTTGTATGTGCTGACCTGCGGATGCATTTCGCTGGACGCCCACGACGATGTTGTGAGCACATTGACACCAGCCAATAGGCAAAACCAGTTGTTGTGAATGCCTATCAAAGTACGCTGTCATGCGAGTTGAGTAAGCGCTCACTGGATGCAGTTGAAGCTCACTGATCTCATATTCACCAGTCCTTATTAGCAGCAGGAAAACCCTCATGTGGTAAGTCTAATCGCCAACATGGACATTGGGTCTCTTCGCAGTCTATGGAACTTATCGGTGCTCGCCGGCATATTCCGGCTGAGAGCGA